TAAAAACAATGGAAAAATATGAGAATAGTTAGAAACTTTACAGAAGCTCAAGAGTCTTCAATGAAATGGTCAAGAAACAGAGGTAAAGACCATTAGGCAATGGGGAACAGATTGAAGTCCTCTGACATTACAGAGGGTAACAAAAATAGTGTTAGCCTCAGCAAATGAGCCAATAATGGTATTAACAGCATCTGGGAGAAATTAAGCATGTCATGACTGTAAGAGGTTTGGAGAGACTGAAGCAGTGATTCTCAATGCACAGTGCAAAGAAGCATCTCCATGGGAATCTTGCTATAAAGATCTTTTATTGTCCTCACCCAGGTAGCATTTGCATCTCCAGGAGCATATCACCTGCAATACCCAGGATGGCTGTTGACCCAGTGAACCCAGACAGAACTCAAGTCCAGTTAGTATGGCTGACGGGTTGCAGAAACATAACATGATACTGACCAACTACTCTCATACATAGAAAAGGAGTTGCCCAGCCTGCATGCTTACTCAGAAAAAAAGAAAAGGAAAAAGCAAAGTTGAGAAGCTGTGAGAGATGAAGGATGAAAAGTCATTAAAGGCTTAGTAGTAGAAAAAAATCATGCTGCTTTAATCAGCACATATGAAGAACCTCAGTTTTTACTTTGTTATCACTAACCACAAAGCATTTACATCCCACCTACTACCAGACTTACAGAGACCAAAAGGTCATCCTTTGGTTATTCCCCTGGATTAAATAGAAGTTAGGGAAGGCCAAAGTTCTGTTGGATGACACTGAAAAAAGTGAAATAAGAAAAATTGGTTTGTGTGCCTCTGTAGGCTCTATGTGCCTGCTGTTTCCCTGACGAGAGAACAGTCCTGGACTCTGCCACTCCTGGGTGGCTTAATGGGGTTCATTTATCAAGACTGACGTTACTTCAAGACTCAGAAATGTTTGAAAGGTTTTTCATCAATTTAGAGAATTGTCTTTCTTAGAACTACAAAACCATCACCTATACCTTGAGGCCAGCTCCTGAGTACAGGTTGACTCCCAATGTATACCAATGCCTCTTCTGGCACACCCATCAATGCTTCCATTAAACTTAACCCACTGCTTCCCTCTACCAGTCCCCAAATTCAGCCTCTTCATCAACCTACAAGTGCCTACGAGCCACAATGGGTCAAACTCTAGGGTTGACACTGTAGAAGTAAATGAAGAAACTCAGTGCATGACTCTTGCCTGCCTTCAGGAAGCATACAATCTTGTTTGAAGGTGCCAGTATACCTGAGTCATTGATTTTGCAAGGAACAATTAATTACACAGGAAGAGACAAGCAGCAGGAACTGGCCCATTTATGCCGACTTCATTGATTCTGCCTGACAAGAGTTCTCTCTTTCCTTCTAGATCACTCATTCATATTTTTCCTTTAGCTTTACTCAAGAAAAAAAAAAAATTCCCTGTCTTTTTTAGTTCATTTCTCATGGCCTTCCGTATACAAATCCTCTTCTTCCTACACGCCAGAAAAATACTCACTCCTTCACTCATGCAAGCAACTCTTTCCTTTTGCAGAAAATTATTCTTTAGCCACTTAAAACTACAACCAACTGCTCAAGTGGCCTCACTAGAAAATTATTGCTAACCTCTATAACATCCAGGCATGTTGAAAGGCACACGTGAAAGCTTTCTCTTCCCCCTCTGTTTCTGTGCCTACTTGTTCTATTGACTCAGTGAGCAGAGACAACATCTAATTATATTTTCCACCCAAAGATTAACATGTTATTAGTGCTTAGCAAGTAAGAAAAATAATAATGTCTTTATATTTCCCATTTTTTCCACTTCAGGATTTCATATGCAAAAAGAGATTTTAAAAGTATAGCATGGAAGTGTTTTTGGTCCATTAGACATATATTAGGTTTTTCTGTCCTCCTATACAAAGGTTCAGCCTTTTAAATGGGGCATGCAGCTATTAAGCATTAACCCATCTGTTGTGTTTTTCTCTTTTACTTCAAAAGGCTGGCACACTAGTTCCATAGCCAAAGTCATACCAAAGCTGTTCGTTTCCTAACAATACACCTTGACCACCACCAATGGACTGTCGTTCAGAAATGCTGTCAAGTTACCAAATGCTTAAGAGCCACAGGAAAGTACAAAGTCCCCTTTCCTTTACCTTCTGACCCCACGTGACCCTTACATACTACAGTGCACCTCCCTTCCCTAACACAAATCCTCCTCATAGCTCCTTGGAGATACCTCTCATTCTAGCAACCCCTAAACTTAACCCATCCATCAAGGCCTAGATAATTCATGACATTCCCAACAAATCTTTCTTGGCCATAATAGCTCTTCGTGGTGACCTGCTCTTTAGAATTTGGAATATGAAAAAACCTAAAAAGTTAACAGCACTACATAGCATATATCAGAAAGTCAAAGGGGCAGAAGAATTAACACTGTTTAAATCACATCAGATCAGCAGCTCCTTCAAAGCAGGCAGCAGAACTCTACAGATCACATCCTCAGTATCACACACCTATTTATACCACATTGAACCACCCATGGCTTTTCTGCCCAACAAAGTTTATGAGCTTCTTGGGGGCAGAGACTGTTTCTCATAGAGCTTCAGAATTCCCTGTAATAACTAATACTAATAGTGCTGGACACAGCAGAAAGTACACAGTGGATTCTTTTTGATTTGCCCCGTAGGGAAGCTGGGAATATTTTCTAGTTGAGTAAAATCAAGCTAAAGCAATACATCAGTGATAGAGCATTGAGACTCAGTGTGATAACATTTTCAATGACCTGAGTGGGATTTCACACTCATAGAGACCCACTCTTCATGCAATTTCAGCAGAGAGAATGTATGTGGCGGGAGGGGGGAGATGAACAGGGTCAGATTATCAATTCTCAAATGGCCTTCAAGATCATCGGATGGAAGCCATCATCCTCTTAGAGATGAAAAATTGGGGAAGCCTCCTAACGGAAGCTGGTAAGACCGGATTGCTCAGGAGGTGTAAACCCTGTTCACATCCCCAGCAGCTTTGCAGCAACCATGTGTAGTGCTGTTTGTCTTGGAAAGAAGTACCCCACCTCTGCCTGGAAGCAGGGAGTAAACCATCATTTAGAGTCCTCATCCATGCTTAATGGAAGTGTGTTTAATGTTGTTTTGATGATGTGTAACACTGTTAATTGCAGCTATATTTTGATTGCTTTCTTTTCTCTATCTCATCTATGCTACATGCAACAAATATTAACACATTCTCTAAACAATTAAATTGTGCCACAGCAAGGATACAGAGTGGTAACAGGAAAACCTGTGTTCAAATAACTAAACCCTTAATTGAGCAGCTAAGATCTTTTTCTTTAAAAAAATTCTTTTTTCAATTTTCTGACATTACTTTTCTAGTTCAGGTAACAATAAAGCAGTGCTGGACTGTGTCACCAAGGTATTTTTGTTAACAAGCACTAACTGTACATCTGTGATGTGCAGGCACTATTCCAGGAATTACGGAAGAGCAAATGAATAAAACTCTGCTTCTGCCCTCAAGAATCTAGTAAGAAGATTAAAACTGAACACAAAAAGTCTAATAAAGGGAGAACATAAAGGGCTAATAGGAAGCTATGGAATTTGAGAGTAGGAATGAATTCCCTGATTTTCCTTAACTGAGGAAATCATATTAATAAAAACCATGTGTGTTTATAAAGCAATACCCACCAAAATTAGAAAGTTCTTAATATCAGAAGATGGATATCTTCCATTTTAGATCATTCTTTTGAGCTCACATTTACTTCTAACACTTGATTGCCTACTGACAAAAGAATATGCTAACTTTTTTTCACAGATTCTGATTTTTTAAAGTTTTCTCAGAAGAGCATGCTTTATTTGCCTGCATCAGACTATTGCTGCAATGGAGTTAATAATGAAAAGCAATATAATTTTGTATGTTCAGCACACTTTACAGCTTCCAAAGCATTTTCACAAATACTATTTCAATAGGTCTCATTTGGTCACCACAAAACCCCAGGAAGTACATGGGGTCAGTTTATTGTGTTTCTGGGCGTGTGCATGTGCACGTTAATTTTATTTTTTATTTAATTTTATTTTTTTATCGTGCACAGAGGAACCGGAGGCTCAGAGGAGTCTGGTGAGTGACGGTGACAACTGGCATTTGTCAGGCTTGTCAGACAAAAAGAAAATTGCTGGCTAAGCCCTCCAATCTAAAATTACTCACAAGTTATTACACTTGAAAACTCGTGTTCCCACTGGTATGTGTTCTCTCATAAGGTGAATATGCCCTGGGCAGCACTCAGCATCTGGGAGCACCCAGCATCCACTTGTCCCCATGTGCGGCACCTTGTCCCCACCCAGAACATTGGCCAACCCTTCTTCTCTCATTCTCTGTTCTCAGTAGAGGATTAAAAGGCAACTATTTGTTCTTCCACCCTAAAAAGCCAAAGCCACTGAATCATGTCCTTCAAAAGTATTTGGATTTTAAAACTTTGCTACAACTTTACAGGGAAAGTCCTTAGGCTGATAAACACATGTAGGGCAGCAGCCATCGTGTGGAAGGAATTTGATGCTGAATCACTGATGCTGCCATCTCTCTGGACAGTGATTAACAAAAGGCCTCTGAGCTTATCTTCAGGGTCATAGAAGGAAAGAGAAGCTGGCACTAATGCATCCTGCCCTGTGTCCCTGAAAGGAACTTCAGGGATGAGCAATGACAGATTTAACAAGTAGAGAAAGCCCATTGAGTCTCCAGGGGCTGAGGCACAAAAAAAAAAAAAAAAAAAAAAAAGGAAAAATAAAAAGACAGAATCTGGGAAGCAGCCAGAGTCTGAGACTGATGTCCCTAGGCCTCTGTCCCCACCCCACACATGCACATTTGCCCCAGCCTGATCTCAGACTGTAAAGGCTCAAGCCCTGTGGCTCTTGAAACATGCCCTGAGACGAAAAGGATCTGTCCTCAAGTCCCACACCAAGTCTGCACCACTCTTTCTTCCACTGAAAACATCAAATGGGAAAAGCTGTCCTTACCTCGTAATGAGCCACGCGCTGAGATTCGGATATCAGTTGTGCACTGCACACTTTGCAGTAACTGTCTGTAAATAAATCCTGATCGATATCGGAGGACTTCATCAGGCTAAAGGAGAATCAACAGAAGAAAAATGAGTCCACTGCCTTGATGTTTATGCAGGACATTAACTGTGTGCAAAAGCTAGAGCACAGTCACAGACCCCATGATAGTAGCAGTGGGGGAGAACACCCTACACCTTAGGTGATACCATGTCAGTTAACCACAATAAGTGTAGAGTTTATAATTTTCTTATAAATGCCCAGCAAGACTGCTGGTACCCTACAAAATAGAAATGCACCTTTAATTTTCTCTTTCTGACAAATCAGATTTCTATCTAGTGCACTGCCAAGGATTTACATGAGAGGATATTTTCATATGTGATTTATATTAACAAACCATTGTAAGCATTCAATACATGCAATGTAAGAAAGAAGTTGAATGAATTCTGAGACATCCACATTCTAGAATACGATGTGCCTTCCAAATCCAAATGCAAATCTTTTTTTTTTTTTATTTTTCAATGTTTATTTATTTCTGAGACAGAGAGAGATAGAGCACGAGTGGGGAAGAGGCAGAGAGAGAGGGAGACACAGAATCCGAAGCAGGTTCCAGGCTCTGAGCTGTCAGCCCAGAGCCCTACGCAGGGCTCAAACCCATGAACCGTGAGATCATGACCTGAGCCGAAGTCAGTTGCTCAACTGACTGAGCCACCAAGGCACCCCGAAATCAAATTCTTCTAAAGGAATGTTTAATGAAATAGGACAAAGTTTACCATTAACAACAAAACCGTTTACAACACAGTATGTACAGTATTATACTAAATTTGTTTTAAAATATGTATAGGTGCATAGGAAAGCATCCCAGGAAGTTTTAATAAAGTGTTAATAGCAGTTATCTTTCAGAGATTATAGGTAATTACTTATGTAATTTTATTTTTTTCCTACAATGAACATATATTATTTTTGTAGTACATGGAAAAAAGTTAGCTTTGTCAAGAAACTTATAGGCAATATAAAATTTAGTTTTGAGTTGAATAGCTATATTACAGAATTAAAAAATAAAATCAGGATAAACTGTAACTTTTCTTGCAAGCCTATACCCAGTAAAGTGAGAAGCTCTTATCATCCATGCTGACTCTTCCACATTTAGGGTTACTGATATTCATAAAAGCCACCTAGGCCATTACACACCACAATTGAGCCCACAAAGGTAAATAAACATATTGTCGAATCCCCAATCCTGAATCAAAGTGCAGCCAAGGGTCTCACACTTGTGAAAGTGATCTGTCACAAAGGTATCTCATAGCAGCTGTAGTGTGAAGTTACCACCGTAGAAACACATGCCAGCGCATCAGAACGCTTTCCTCCAACACAGAAACTCCATTTCATTTTACCTCCTACCTGCCAGGTAAAATGTAAGGACTATGCCAGAGAGCAAGATGTATGGAGAGGCAAAAGGATTTCAGACAACAGGGATGTGGTGAGCACCCTGGAGCTTATCTTGCTCCCATGCCCTCCTTTGATATATGAGAGTGTTTGAAGTCACATAGTTGATCATTGGCATGGCCATATTTTCTGTCTGGTTTGCATGACTCCAATTTCCACACTACAAATCCATGCCAGGTCCAGTCCAGGTCTCATGCTACTTGCCAACCATGTGATGTTGGATGAGTCACTAAACCTTCCAGTCTTAGTTTCCCCCTACACAAATTAAGATAAAATATTATCCATGCCTTTTTAGAGAACCGTGGTGAAACTTAGGAGAAATATAGAAGAAGGTACTATATAAACTGTAAAACTCTCTTCATTTGAAAGGGATCATCAGTACATTTTTAATAATATCCTAATGTTAATAAGATGCTGGCCAGGTCTTAACCAATGCAACAAAATAAAGGACAGTGGTTTAAGTGATTTTTGAAATCATCTAATTTTGTAGCTGGACTACAAAATAAAGTATCTGCCTGAATAAAAAGCTTCCTGCCTCAACAACTGCAAACTCACTTTCTATCTTTGTCCTTGGCTATAGTGGCCCATTCGGGGCATTTGATTTCCAAAATTCAAAAAGATTCACAGATTTTGCTCCTAAGAGATGATGGTGACTCTGCTTTTTCAATGCCCTGAGTACCAACAGTAATGCCAGGTAGTAAGGACTACAGACTCTCATAGTTGAAGTGGATTGTTATTTCTGGAAGGCTCATTCCTGGCAGAAAACTCAGTCAGCCTGGAGTCTAGCACCTGCAGTGCCTGGAGACTCACTACCTAACATGGCAACCTGTTCCAAAGAGTCTGGCAACTCTAGCAGTTAGGTATTTTTCAGGTTGAATCAAAATCTGTCCCACTGAAGCTTTCACTCACTGATCCTGTCTTTGGGTACAACATACAAAAATCCTACTATCCTTTTTCATGAGATATCCTCTCTCAAGTACCTAAAGATAGCTCTCTTCTATCTACTCTGAACCCGTCCTGACTTACCATCTTGGTCTGTGTCTATTTCTTTATGGTCCATCTTCAGAGGCAGTGCCAAGAACAGAATGACCATTTCAAAGATGGTCTAAATCAGGCAGAGGATCACAAGTCCAAATGACCATCCAAAATATCCATCATCATGTGTAATGGTCTCTATTCACATCCCAGAATGCAAATGGAGAAGAGGTGTTTTGATGATGGGAAAATGTAGTACAACATTTTGAAATGTCAAATGGGAAAAGAAAACTTACTAAGGTGTATTTTTTAAGCCAAGCTTCTATAAGTAGTTGTGTTTAAATATCATCATGTTCCCTGCTATTTCTAATAAAGAAGTGCACAAAAATAGATTCATGGGTGACCTGGTTAATAGGAATCTCCAAACTCACTGCACACTCCTTCCTCATTATACAACCGACTGCAGAAATCAAACACTGTGAAAGGATATTCAAGGTACGTGTCGGACCGAGTAGGGCCCGTAGGAGTCTGAGTCTCGGTAAAGCAGCTGTGCAGCAGAAATAGCTTTAAAGGCAGAATATAAAAATGTGTATACTAAAAAAAAAATTCAAAGGAAGAAGAGAATATCATGGCTTTTTCCACTGTTTTATATAAGAATATTGATTTGAAGAAGCCCATATGCAGTAAAATGGCAATAAAGACCCCTCTGAAACGTACGAGGCCCAAATGGAAAACCTGAATAAGTTAAATTCCAGTGGGAGGCAATTAGTAGGCAAGTGTCAGACCGGTTTGTGTATAAGGCCTTTTCCCTAAGAAAAGAGAACTCTCTCTGTGTAGGTCACTTTAGACAACTAAAGAGCCTGATTTATGATTCAAAGAGTGGAATTCCCCAGGAAGAGGGTTGCCATTTGTTCCTTCCTCTGGCTTGTTTAGAATAGAATTCTCAGCTTCTCTGGGCTTCAAAAGTACAGATGAACTGTTAAGGACAAGGAGGGAAAACCAGACGACCTTTCTTTAGCCTTGTCCATGGTCCTGAATCAGCAGTTAGAGCAGAGACAGAGCAGGGCTGTTGATCAGTTAGTAACCAGTCAGACCCACTGTCTCATCAGAGCCAAGGTGTAGTGACCTCCAACGTGGGGACATGCTGACTATACTACATTCTGAGGCCCTGGAACATTCTGAGGAGGGATAGAAAAGCAGGGGAAGGAAGGGGTTTGATTTCCTGGATTTGAAACTGATCTGAATGAAAATTTCCTCAGTGTTCCCCACCCAGGCACGTTCCAAAGCAAACACTGATGATTTGAATAACCTATCACTCTTCAGTATTCACAGAGGACAGTGCTACCTTTATTTTACTAAAGAAGCCCAGAGGGAAGTTGGAGGCAGTAGAACAGGAGTCTGATCAGATTCTCATTTGCTGTCCTAGGTCTCTATACAGTAATAAATCTATTTACATCTGGTAGCAGTGACAAGTGTAAGGCTCAGAGGTATAGCTAGGTGTATAAACAAAAGAAATATAAAGGGAGAGAACTTTTGTTTGTTCAATAATTATTACTGAGCATCCACTATATGTGAAGCACAGGAATAACAGAGGGCACAGCTCCTGTCTTCCAAATCTTTATGAGCTATTGAGTGAGAAGAGATAGATGCACACAGAATATCTAAGGCACAGGCAGCAAGCGTAATTTGGCTGGTAAAAAGCGACAGAGGATTGGAGAAGACAAGGTGATTATAAGGAACTCTTTAAGAAGGCTCTATAAGAGTTAAACATTTAAGAATGAATAGGATTAGAGTAGAGGAGTAGGAAATGGGTTTAAACCCAATAGGTTGCAATTCTTTTTGCTGGCATGGAGAAAAATATTACTAGTTGGCATGAGAAGATATATACAAGGGGCTTCAGTGGAACTTACTTGGGAATGCAACATAAGGGAAGGAGGCAGCGAAATTCAAGGGAAAGAAGGGTATACAAAGCTCAAGACCCAGATGGAAGGAGGAGAGACTGAGGGAAAACAGCAGGTCCCAAAACATTTCTCAAGGTACAAGGAATGGCCTTTTTTAGGATCTTTAGATGCAGACATGAAGCCTTCCCCTCTGCTTCCTTCTGCTTCTCAAGAACAGATTTCAGGGACACAGCCTGAAAAGCTAGAGAAACCTGAGGTTTCATGGCCAAGAGTAATATTCTTCATTCCATTCTGTTTCCAATCATGCTAAAATAGCTTCTGACTCAAAGGTCCTAAAACCCATGCAGGGCTCTTCAGAGGAAAAAGAAATTAGTTCAAATCCATGTTTCGTTGCTTGCCAACTAGATTTTTGAGTGCAAAGTTACACATCCTCCCTGAGCCACCATTTCCTCATTTGTGTAACAGGGGAAACATGCTCACAGGTTCATTGTGAGGATTAGAGAGCATCTAACAAAGACTGCAGTATAAGGCAGACACTGAAAACTGGATATTACCACCATTATAATGAATATTATTAATTTTGTGTTATCATCATTCTTATTTTCAGGAGGGATTCTGTCAATATTTAAGTAAAGAAATAAATAGAACCACATTAAAGACTAAAGGGAGAATCGGTGTGTGGAAATAATAATTTTGATGGTCATCACCAGCCTCCTCTTTTGTATTAACAATATTCTCCAC